CGATGGTGGGAGCCCTGAGTGTGGCTCCATCCCCATTGAGGGCTGTTTGCAGCCTTTGAGCATGGGGGTCCTTTCAGCCCAGTGGACCTTCTCCATCACATCCTGCTGTTCCAGCCTTTCCCCTAGCTATTTTAGAATAAAAAAAGGCTTTATGCAGCAACATGCTTATGGTCTTTAACCCTGTGAGCTGACGTCCTCACTAGGGCTTACTTGTATGCTGTCATGCTGCATTGGGCTGCTGCTGCACTTGGCATTGCTTGTCCCCATGTCCCACACGCTCCATGGCCCTGCCCAGATCCCTGCCATCCCTGTGTCGCCTGCCCGCGCCTGACCCCGCTCGGCGTCGGACGTCCTTCCGCATCCCCCAGCCCATCCTCCCCCACAGCTGGGGACACGCCTGGCACCCATCTTGGGGAGGAGGGGACCTGTCTCACACCGGCTGCCAGCCCCATCCGCTCCTCGGGGCAGGGATCTCGTGGTGTTTGCCACACCGGAGTTATTTTGCAGCAGGCTGAAATTGCTGGGGATGGGCAACAACAACGCCGGAGGCAGGCAATGGCAGCAGGCAGCGTGACTGGCGGCTGATGGGATGGGGTGGTAAGTGGCAATGATGGTATTGATTCATCGACTCCCACGCCAGGATGTGATGGGGAGCATCGGGACCCAACTCACCTCATCACCCACCTTGAGCAAATCCTGTCGGTGTCCCCGAGGCTGTGTGAGCCTGGCTTGGGGTAGGGGATATCGCCTCACAGGTGGGATCTTCATGCACGATGCTGAAATGTGCCTCCAGCCTCATCCAACCATGCCATCCATCTCAATTTCTTTGCCAGCACTAGATGCCATTTAATTATTTCCCTTAATTTCTAGCTGAAGTTGCCTCGAGAAGAACATAATTTATGCAGTTACATCTCCTCCATGTGACAAAGCACCAAAGCAATTGACCCTTCTGGTCCTGGGAGGAGGGTGGGCTTGGAAAGACAAGGGTCAACACCCCATGGTGACCCAAGGATTGGCTTAACATTGCAGTGTTTCCTTGGAGTGGACCAACCACCCAGCTCCTCTTTGGTGAATCAGTCCTGACCTCCTGGGACAGGTGTTGCTGTGTGAATATGCCCATAAAGGCTCTTAATTCCCACCTATTTACTGTCACCTTTCTCCTAAGCACCAGCTTCGCTTGCTGCCGCAGCCAGCATTTTCCAATGTGCCTGCCTGGGGTTAAGCTCTTGAACCCATGTTTAAGCAAACACAGTCTGCTGCTTTGCACACCCTCCCTCTGAGCTTCTCCACGCAAAGCACCCTGTTAATAATTATTTGCAGCGTGGGACTTGGCACCTTAGCCTCTCTGGCTGTGAACCCCTGAGTGTTTCCCAAGAAGCTCTGCCACCGGGGTTGTTCAGGGTTAGGTCAAAGATGTGAAGATGCTTGCCTCGTGCTTGCGGCCGAAGGTGCTTGTAGGTTATGGGTGGAAGGGGGTGCAGGAGCATCCCTGGTGGATGCCACAGCTGCGCCCAGGTCCTGCAGCCTCCAGCATCCTCTCCTACAACAGCCAGGAGACAATAAAGCTGAACTGCTCAGACATTGCCAATGCAGATGTCTGTTAGCAGCTAAATACCTGCCAACCTTCCCTCCCTGCAGCACCACCTTTTCATAAAAAATTCCTTTCCCTCACATAGTGCTAAGATGTTTTTTTTTAGCGTTGCAACCCTAAGTTGACTGGTGTGTGTGAGTGGGGGATTAAGGGCACGCTCCTGGGCAAAGGTCTCCTGCAATCTCCGCGGGGCCAGCCGGCTGCAGCTCCTTGGAGTCACGCGTGCCCCCCTAAAACAAGGGCCGCTTGTTCGGCACCGCTGGCAGGGCTGGGCTCAGCGGAGGAGGCAGCTGGCCTGCCCGCGGCTGAGCGGAGCGGGGGCATCGCCCGCCTCCCTCCCCGCACCCGGAGGGTGTCGTGGGGGTGTCCCCAGCAGTGGTGGGTCGGGGCCGAGGCGGGGGCAACCCGACACTGTGGGACACTGTGCAGCTTCAGCTGGGACGGCATGGGGTTGCTGAAAAGCAATGGCCAGAATCAAGGGCAGGTCCTCTGAGTCCCCTTTGCACCCCTTTGCACCCTTTTGCACGCCTTCATTTCTTTTCCCAGAGTGGAAAGGTGCGGAAACCCAGCAGGGCCCAAAGGAAGCCTGTCCCTGTGGGTAGCATGGTGGTGTGACCTGGCCCCCAAGACCTCGGATGGATATTAGAGAAGCATCCTGCAACGAGCCCCCGCAGCTAACCCCGCTTTGGGCTGTAGCAGCAGCAGCAGGAGATCCCTGGGCACCAGCAACCCCTTGAAGGAGGGAGGTTAAAATGCCTCAGAAAGCCAAGACCTTAGGAACATCCCAAGCATTAACGAACTTACTACAGATGCCTCTAAGACAGAAACAAGAAGTTTGCCCTTGCAGCAGGAGGGGAATCTGCAGCAGTCCTTGCTGGAAGGTGTTTTTGATGCTCCATCTTTGCCGCAGGGCAGTAAAGGGACGTTTTGATGCTACACGTTTGAGCCATGGCCCGAAGCAGCTGCACTTGGCCCCATATGATGCAATCCTGCAAACCCCGGGCTTCCTTCCTTTTTTCCTATTTTGGGCACATTTTGCCCTGTCATTCCCCAGCCATGCTGACAGTGCTGGAGAAAGGCACATGGTACCTTCCCCTTGCCTCAGCAGCTCGTGCCCTGCAAAGGCTCATGTGGGCCTGTCACCACCACCCTTGACTCAGCTAATTCCCCTTTGGCCAAGGCATTGACTGAGCTCCTGATGGCAAAGGTGAGGGGTCGGAGCGGTGGAGGACATCCAGGACCACCATCACCTCCACCACAGGGACCACCACAACCGCCACCACCGCTGGGTCCATGTCCCCACCAAAGCAGCCAGCTCTGCACAGCAGGTGGGGCTGGAGATGGGTGCTTCGACCCCTGCACGAAGCCTGGTGGTATCTGACCTGCGTAAAAGTGGGATGAATACCTGTACCTGCTCACTGGGCATGTTTTGAGCATCCCATAATTAATGTTTGCTCAGTGATTGAGGCTGACGGGTGCGTAGCGTTATTAGTGAATGATGAGTAGCTGATGTTGTTGATGTTGCTACCTCAAGACATCTAATTTCAGCATCTGGACTGAGCAAAAGGGCCAGGGGCCAGAATGCTGGTGCCAAAATCCTGCCGGGCTTTGTATCTTTAGAGGTGGCTTCCTACCAAAGCCCTGACCATGGACATGCTTGCCCTGGTAGCGCCAAGTTTGGACCCACATGGTGGCCACAGTGGCAGGGACAGGACCTGTGCTGGTGGCACGGTGGGGCCAGGAGCTACCCTTGCTAGGGTGAGATGTGCAGAGCCCCCAAGCCCAGGGTAGCAGAGTCACGGGGAGTGGGCTTGGGGACACAGATGCAAGAAGGTTTTCAGGGCCCTAATCTAAAGCCCAGTGAAGGTTTCTTGTGTATTTAACCCATCTTGATGCACGCGTAAAAGAACTGGATGTCCGTAAAACTGCACTGAGTTATCCCAGCCCTGTTCCCACGCTGCTGAACATGGGCGTGAGGGACAAGCGCTCACACGGGGTTGCTCATTTATTTATTTACTGTGGAGAAGAAAGCATTGGTGAGAGTGATGCTTGTGAAGCCTTTAAAAAAAATTACCTTCTGATTAAAAAAACCTAAGCCACAGTCATCGTTATCTCCTCTGTCCATAATCCCATTGCCACCCAGCAGGCACTGCCCTGAGCAGCAAGTTTGTATTTACTTACAAGATGATTCTGGGGAGCTCCCAGGAATTTGGGGTGCCATGTCCCCAGGCAGCACAGTGGCCTCCAGTGGCAACTCGTTCACATCCAGCCCTGGGGGAAGAAACCTGAAAATGAATCCTGGAGGCTGTTTGCTCCCTAGGAAACTTAGGATCAGAGTCCAAAATGCTGGAGGAGAGGCATCCCTGCATGGGGGGTGTCTTGGTGCCAGGCAGGGTCCTGCGCACACCCATGAAGCCCATCTGCACCGAGCAGCTGCACCTGGGACTCCCCACCGACGTCCTCTGCCCACAGCCCTAGAGATTCATTTAAGCTCAGGCCTGGGCACCCAGTGCTGCCCTGGTCCGTGGGGTGCTGGTCTGCAGCCCTGGCCCCTGCGTGGCTTGTGCTGTGTGGCTGCTCTCCGGTGCCCTCTCCTGGAGGGACATCGGAGGTACATGGCAGCTCTGCCTCCTGGATAGACCCCAGACCTGGGTTGGAGTCTCTGGGCCATCTCCTGCAGCTTCAGTGTCCGACAGGTCTGGGTCTCTTCACGGCACTCTGTGAGCAGCCTGTGTGCCTAAGAAAAGGTGACTTGTGCTATACTCTTTTCTGTACAGGGGCACAGCTTGGCCTTTCTTTCCTCAACCTGGTCACCCATTTCTAAAAAGCTTGTAGGTCTTTTATGGCTTTGAAGTCTTTCTCCCTCTGCTGAGTTCAGCTGGAGCTGCCTGAAGAACCTGCTAACATGTCAGCCTCCCCAGGAGATCAAGGTGTACGTGTCTGGTGAGGCAGGGTCTTGAGAGCTTCCGTTGGGCAGAGATACTGGGAGTAAATCTTGGAGACTGACTGAGCACAGCCAAAGTTAGCATTTTTAGTGCTTGGTTTCATGCTTCCTTTACCTCATTTGTGGCTAATAGCTTCATTTATTTCTTTGCAGAGAGAAAAGTCTCCAGCTCCTACAGGGCGGGTAGCTGATAATCTTCAGTGTGTCCTGCAAGGGTGTCCTTCCTTCCTGGACCAGCTGCATCTTTTGGCTTTATCCTAAGACCTAAATGACCTCCTATCAGGAGCAGAAATGAGCATCAAGTCTTTCCTGGTAGTCCATGCTCTCATCCAATGCTCTTGCCCCCTTTCCCTGAGGTTTGCTTGCTGCAGGTGAGGAAATCCTTCCCTCTCCACCAGAAGGTTTGCCTTCAACTGGCCCAGTCCCCTGTGCAGCTGAGAGGGAGGACTGCCGGCCTGCAGCCCATCAGCAGCAGGAAGGGACCCAGGCAGAGGGTACACCCACATCTTGAGCCCCCTGGATGTTATGAAGACCATCATCAAAGAAAATGTGGGGCTGGATCTGAGCGAGGATGGGGCCCTTGGGAGCCCCATCCATGAAGAAAGCCTCGTCGATGGCCAGACCCCATTCCCGGAGTGTCTTGATGGCTCGGATGCCCATGTCCCGGCCACTGCGGGCGGTCACCAGGTAGGTGCGGATGGGGGATTTTTCCTGGCTGAACTTCTTGCGTATCTTCCCAAGGTGCATGGCAAAAGCCTTCAGGGGACCCTGGAAGCACAGCAAAATACTTGGGAGTGGGTGGGAAATAAGGAGACGTCTACTCTGCCTGTACAAGCCACTTGTTCCTCTTCCAGGGTCTCTCAGGGCTCTGCAGAGCACAGGGACACCTGTGGGGTGCAGGACTGGGCAGTGGTGGGACTGGTGCTGTGCACTGGGGTGCTCAGGAGGAAGGTGAGTGTTGTGGTGCTCATCCTAATGCCCAAGTGACCAGGAAGGTACATCCCACCCTGAGTCCTGCAGGCACAGCAAGAGGTTCCAGCCTACAAAAGGTGGAGGTAACCACAACCCTGGATATTTGGGAGCTGATGATCACTTACAGAAGACATCGGGCCAGATCCATTTCCAGTGGGACTCCACATCAGGCCCACACCAGGGACCGAGTGGTGGATGCAAAGGAAACCTGGATTTGTGCTTTTTTGGCTAGTCATGGCATAGCCCTAGTGGGAGAGATGCTCACGGTGGGTGCAGACCTTGTGGATGCCCGTAAAAGTAGGGTGGCTTGCTCACCTCTCCCATGGGCACGGCCTCCATCGCCTGCTCATACTGCACTGCGCCCTCCAGCCCCTGCTCCTGGAAGACCTGGTCCGTCTCATCGGAGAAGAGCACGGCATCCCCATCGAACACCACGCGGAGTGGGGTGCTGGGGGCTTGCACCTCTTGCTGGAAGACAAGAGCTGCTGAGACACCTGTGAAACAGAGCAAGGTGAGGCTTAGGAGGGACAACCCCTCCTCCCCACGCATCTGCTGCAGCCCTGTCTGACACCGCAAGTGTCGGGTTCTCCGAGCCAGGGGTCTTTCTGTGGAGGTCAGGTCAGCCTTTCTAGGGCTGCGTTATCCCCCCGTGGGGATGGACAAGAAGGTGCTGCTGATCAGAGACTGATGTCTGGAGATACCTGGTCTGCTAAAAGACAATGGATCGTTGTGTAGGTATGAGTAGCCCTCCTCGTGGTGCTTGCTCATCCTGCCAAGCCTGGCTTTAATGCCCAGATTTAGCACTCCATGCTGTGAGTAATAGGGACTGGCACCTCCGCTTGATTGGGGTAATTGGCTTAATTACAGGTCTCTTCCTACAGGCTGCTCCCTGCCCACCCTCATCCGTGGACCGAGGCCCCCGGATGAGAGACACTTGTCAGAGCAATGATGATCTTCAAGGAGGCTCCAGGAATGCGCTGTGTAGAGAAGGAAAGCCCAGGCTGCAGATGGTTTCCTCCTGACCTTGAAGGACCTTGGCCAGCAGACGTGCTCATACCCAAGCAAATTAATAAGGAGGCAATTAACCCCATTAGAGCTGTTGGGGAGACTGCACTCCCTCCAATCCAGGTCAAGCATGTGCTTACATCTATTGCTGAGCACATGGTAACTCTGCATGTACCAAGAAAGCAAATTTCTACAGCATCCTCACGGAGCTCTAGGAATCGCTGATGCACTCTCATTGATCCAGGGAGCAGCAACAAGCAGCATTTTTAGTTAGAAAGGCTTAAATGTCAGGCAGGGAATGACCAGCCCATGGCTGAGCTATGGCTAGAATTATGCATAAAGCACTCAGTGACTTGTGAAGGCATCTGAGAAACCCAATGTGTTTGCAGGCTATCGGTGGGGACAGAAGAGGAGATTGAACTGTTCAGGACTGTACTGGTATTCAGCGTGCCATTCACCCCCTTGCCCTTGTGAAAGCATGAGCTCTGGCATTGCCTCGTGGTCCTGTGATGCTTGGGAAAAGTGTGTTGGGTTTGGGGATGTGGCATGGAGGGGAGAACGCACCTCTCCGGAGAGCATTGCAGACATCTATCCTGTCAGCCGAGAGGAAGAGCTTGACCCCGTGGGACTTCAGGTACTGTGTGGAGTCCTCATCACTGACGAAGCAGAACTTGGAGATCTCCAGGCCTTCAGGTCAGGGGGTGTGAGCAAAACCTGTTATGGCGCAACATCCTCCTCGCAGCCCCCCTCCCCTCCCCTCCGGGGGTCTCGGCATGCTTTGCTGCAGATCTCAGGGCAATTAATTTCCCAGTGCCACGTGGGGAACCTGCCCCTGTTCTTGCTGCATCTTCTTGCCCTGTTGCTCCTACAAAACTGCAGAGTGCAGTTGAATATTCCCTTCATCCCTCCCTTAAAAAAAAAAGACTTAAATCCCAGAGTGCGGTCAGGAAGGCTCACTTAAGAACTTTGTTTCTTTAGTAGCTGCCTGAGGATGCCCAGGCTGTGCAAGATGCTGCCAGACCCCGTGATGCAAAGGATATGGCCGAAGGGAGCCGGAGTCTGCCAAGGAGCCTGTACCCTGGCTATGCTCTGGCATCCTGGACAAGCTGCATGGGGCTGGCAGGAATCGGGCTTGTTTCCAAAATAACCCCTCTCCCTTGTGTCCCGTGGCTCTGTATTTGCCACTGATGCCACACTGTGGTGCCTTATCTGCCTTGCAGCTTCCCGGGGGAAGCAGACACCCGCAGGGATGGGGTCCTTCTTACCGTAGTGTTTGGCGCTGTTGATGATGCGCACGCCACTCTCCGGGCTGTTGTTGGAGAGGACCAAGATGTCAAAGAGGTCCTTCTCTGCTGGGTTGCTCTCTAGGATCTTCTCATTCACATACTGTGCTGCCTGTTAGGAGAAGATGAGACTCTCTTGGAGGGGCATGACTGTGATGGCTTTGCCAGGGCTCTTCTGCAGTTAAGTTTAGTGGTTTCTGCTGCATCTGTCAGCTATGGCAAGGTTAGCATGTTATGGAGAGCCAGAGAGAACAACCATTTTGCAAAAGCCATTGCCAGGAGGGCAGGGAGCAGGATACCTCACTAGGGAGGAGGTGGACATGTGGGACTGGTGAGGAGCACAGCTCTGAATGCACTGCAACAATGCCAAGAGGCCAGGACAGGAATATCTGCACCTTGTGATGGGAGTTGAGAGCAAAAGCTGGGAAAGCTGAGCTTTCACCCAGTCCTGCGAGTGTCTGCATATGCCCCTGGCCAGGTGTGGGGCTCACCTGGATGAAGGTGAATGCTGTGCCTGGTGGCAGGGGCTTGTCCTGGTTGGCCTGCTGGTGCCTTGTGTACTCCTGCTTGCCCTTCTCCAGGTACAGTTTGTGCTCCTCCTCCAGGTTGAAGATGGCTCTGGTGGTCACCGCAATGACCAGTGCCTCACTGGAGTCTTTCTGCAGGACAGGAAAAAAAGAGGGTTTGGGAGACAGCAAAGAAGGAACTTGGAGAGGTGGGGTGAGCAGGGGGACACAGGACTCCACAGACCAGGGTGGTGGGGTTGGGCATTGGAGGCATCACCCATGCATCATGGTTCCTGATGCCAGAGGGCGGGAAGAGGTACCAAGGTACCAAGCCCAATCTTCATCTCCAGGCCACCAGGGATGGGACAGGCAGTTGTGAAATGCTAAACTGTCTGGTAAGTGCCATATGCTCTGAGGACAGCTCGCACCAAGAGGGGGTTGCTTCACAATTTTTGTGTTTGTGGGCACAGCACAGCCATGATCATCTGTTTGTGCTGAGCTGGACACTACTGGGTTTCTCTGCACATACTTGTGGTTTTACCCTTTGTTTGTGTCTGTTCTGGAGAGTCTAATAAAGTCTCTATATATGTAAGAAGCTGCTGCTTTCTCCCTGGCTGCTGCAAAATTTAGGTGTAAGCAAATGTACCCATCCTGTCCGTGCAACTAGAGTTTCAGTCCTGCAACCCCTTCCCATGTGGAAATCGCACAGACCTTACTGTTACCAGGTGCCCAGCAGCCCTGGGACAGGCCACTTCTGCTGAAACCTAGGCAGAAGCAATTCAGGGCACCACAGCTCCAGGTTGTGGTGTGTTCTCTCCTGTGGTGGCATTTCAAAACTTGATTTAGAAATCCAGGATGTGTGTTTGGTAATAAATAACCTTTTACCTGTTTCACATCAGTGTTTATGACTGTGCTTTCAGGCTCTGCCATCTTCGACTTTCAGCCTCAAAGAGAAAATATACAATTAAACTGATGCATTGTAATACAGCCAATTTAGAGAGGGAAAAGAGTGGAAAAGAAAGGACCAAGTGGAGCAGCCCAAATGAACCTGCTTCTGCTGACAACAGCTTTGCTCTGAGAAAAGCCTGGTCTAATAGTTCCAATTAAATATGATGAAGTGGCTTTTCAATCACAGTTCACTGCTGGGTTTTTTTTTCCTCATCCCACAGAGTATTTTCCTCCAGGGGGAACTGCTGAAAGTGGTTGTGAAGCTCTTCCCAGCAAAATAAGTCTGTCTTTACACACTTTAACTAGGGCTTGGAGATTGATTGGAGCTAAAAAGCCAAAATAGGTCAGATCTTATGGGTAGTCTTCTAGTTCACATCCTTATTGCCTTTCTTGCTACTTTTTTTTTTGTTTGTTTTGTGAATTTGTATCCACAAATAAGCAAGTCCACTGTGTAAGCAGCTCATTTGCAGCTGCAAAAGGCCCGAGTAAGTAAAGTTGTGTGGTGAGGGCTTGGGTGCAGGACAGGATCCCACTGATGGGGCTGATCTGCCCCTCCACAGCCCTCTGAGCCAGCCAGCTCCTACCCTAAAGGTCTCTGCGCAGGCAGTGCTAGCCCAGGTCTGGCAGATGAAAGTCATGAGGGGTTACATGGTCTGCCTGTGCCTAGCAGCAGAATAAGAAATCACAATTTATTTTTGTACACCCAGATTCTGTGGTCTCCATAACCACCACCCTGTACTCTTCATTTCTATGCACTAGTCAGTGTTAGAAGTGGACTTTTAGGATTCAGCCTGTGGGATGGGAACTGTTCCCATTCCCGCTGAGGGACATCCCGTGGGGGTTGTTTCCACCCAGCAGCTGATGCAAGAGTGCTGTGGGGTTTCTCTGGAGAGCAGAGGCAGCAATGATGTCTCTGCACAGATGTGCTGGGAATGGCAAGATGGGGTTAAAACCTCATTTACCAGTTCATGCACTACCTGATTACTGGGTTGGGGGGCAAGACTCCATAGACCAAAGCCAGCATGCAGTGTAAAGGGGAAGTCAGGGTCTCCAGGGAGACTTTTCTTTTGATCCAGTTATCTTTAATTCATTTTTTATTATTCAGGGGCTGTGCAAAGCATTGCCTGGGCTGGTAGGAAATGCACTTGGCTGATGCCAGCCTGGAGAGCCAGAGCCTTGCCATGGAGGTTCAATGTTTGCATGTGCACTGCCCAGCTGCCCCCGTGGTGCAAAGCCCTGCTGGCAGGGCTGCTCCCCCAGCCAGCGGGTGCCTGGAAAGCCACGAGGTACCAAGCATCCATCTGCTTATTCCACCCATAACCCGTCCTGGGAAGGGGTCTCCTTCCACAGAGCTGGGCAGAGGATGGCAACCACCGGCCATCGTCTGCTGAGCAGGGAGAAGCTTTCCTCTGACCAAATTTCAGCCAAGCGCTTTTAGGTAAGTGAAAATGAAATGAGAGGAGGCAACGGAGCCGAACAGCCCTTCCTGGAGGGACAACACCGCCTCTAATTTCAGCTCTGTCCTTCCAAGTGCTGCAGACTGAGCCGGAGCTCTCCTTTCCATCTCCCTCTCTCTAATAACGGCGGCATTGCTCACATACCCGTACGTGTGTATGCACACACCTCCGCTGCGCGCACCCCCACGCACACAACGCCAGAGATGCCGGAAAGCGTTTCAGGCGGATGCTCGCCGGTCCCCGCCGCTCACCCCACAGCAT